CCCTATAAATTTCTGTTGTATATCACTCTTGGGAGTCTTTCTCCTTTTATAGAACCCCCTTTAATATTTCTTGCAGGGCTGGCTTAGTGGTCACATATTCTTTGTTTCTGCTGGTTGTGGAAGCTCTGCATCTCTCCATCCATTCTAAATGACAGCCTTGCCAGATAAAGTATTCTTGGCTGCATGTTCTTCTCATTTAGTACCCTGAATATGTCTTGCCAGGCCTTTCTGGCTTGCCAGGTCTCTGTGGATAGGTCTGACGTTATTCTGATCTTCTTCCCTCTGTATGTAAGGAATCTCTTCCCCCTAAGTGCCCTTAAGATGGTTTCCTTGGTTCTAAGATTGCAAGTTTTACTATTACATGCCAGGGTGTTGGCCTGTTTTCCTTGATCTTAGGAGGGGTCCTCTCTGCCTCTAGGACTCAAATGTTTGTTTCATTCCCCAGATTAGGGAAGTTCTCAGCTACGATTTGCTCAAATACATCTTCTAGTCCTCTCTCTCTCTCCACTCCCTCCGGGATTCCAATTATTCTGACATTGGAATGCTTCATGATGTCACTTATTTCTCTGATTCTATTTTCATGGATTCTGAATTGTTTTTCCTGGCCTCCTCTCTTCCCTTTTTATCTATTATATTGTCTTCCAGTCACTTATTCGCTCTTCTGCCTCAGTTACCCTAGCTGTTAGATTATCTAGATTGGATTGGATCTCATTGATAGCATTTTTAAGTTCTGTCAATTCACCTTTTATTTCTGCCCTTAGAGACTCTATGTTTCCATTAATTGATTTCTCCATTCTAGCCATTGTCTTCACAATTGCTAGTCTGAATTCCATCTCCGACATCTTGGTTATATCTGTATCCATTTGTAAATCTGCAGCATAAGTCATAATCTCTGAGTCTTTTCTATTTTGGGGGCTCTTCCTCCTAGTCATTCTGTTGATGGGTGTTTGAGGGAATGTATAGAGTCCAAATTATTGACCAGAACCCAAGCAAGATGCACCTGTTTTCTTGGGACCTTAGGGTTGCTGGCCTCTTGTTTTCCCAGCCTGTCTTCTGTGGGAGGGGCCTGCCACACTGTTACTCAGGCAACCCTGTTTGGGCGGAGTTGCCCTGCCCCCCCGTGGCGGGGGATGGGTTCAGCGGGAATGAGTCTTTGGGGCTTTTGTTCTCTGGCGGCTTTCCCTGGCGGCTTTCCGCGTCTCTTTCGTGAATCAGAGCAGAAGAGACCATTTCCAACCCTCTGCCTCAGAGCAGAGAGACCGCAGTCTGTTCTTCAGTGAGCTCTCCAGGCCACACCATCTCCGTTTCTGTCCGTGCTGCTATAAACTGCAGCGTCCTGGGTTGTGTGCCCCTCCGCAGTGCCCCCACTCCTGCCTCCAGGTCGGGGCACGTCTCTGCCCTTCATGCTTCTAAAACCGCCAGCCGCTCACAGTTTGTGTGCGTTGGACCCTGCCGCTCTGGGTTTCCGCCCTGGGGGCTGCCCTAGAGTCCTTTCCCCACCGCTACCAGTCTGCGAGTCTGTGCCCCGACTGCAGTGTGCTAGGCTGTCGCTCACCAGCAGTGTAGGATCCCCACTGTGAGGCACCCTCCCACTGCCATTTATCCTCTGATATCTGCCCACAGAATCACGGCTCCCTGCCTCCTACCTCAAAACCAACCACCTGCAATATTCTGTTTGTAGAGATCCAGATCTTCTTACATCTCAGGCTGGTTTCATGGATGCTCAGAGTGGTCTGGTAGATATCGAGCTCAATTCTGGGGACCAGTTGAAATAGGGTCCCCTACTCCTCTGCCATCTTTCCCCCCTCCTATAATTAATTATTTAATCACCTTTCTCCTCTCATTAGACAGTCAACTCCTTGAGGACAAGAATTGTTGCTTATCATTGTGTGTCCTTGGAAGTTAACAAAACCTACAATGTAATAGGGACCTGGTAACGTATGTTGAATGAATAAACAAATAATTTTATAGTTGCATCATCTCATTTTAACAGATGCCTGGTGGTAGATACCTGACTAGAACCATGACTTTGGGTATCTGCTATGAGTTTTTGGTCATCACCATTGCTAATATCTGATAGTGTTCTTTGTGTGCAATTATTAAATGTTTTGTGTAGTTTTTAGGTAATAAAAGCAAAGAACATAGCAGTTTCCAGGTTTCTTTCCGGGTGTGGCCTTAGGTCAAGGAGAAGATACATATCCCCAAAGGAGAATCTGATTACCTTACAATTCTTGTGTCAGAGGATCTGTGGGCTAATTGCATTATCAAAACAAGACTTGGAGAACTCCTGGCTTAAGTGACTAAAAGGGAGTCCTCACCTCTTTAGTTAGTTAGTTCGTTTCCATCTTATTTATTTATATTTAAATTTTAGTTAACACCGTGCAATATTGGTTTCAGGAGTAGAATTCAGTGGCTCATCTCTGTAAATAGTGAGTGAAACTCATATACTTCATCCTCTCAGGAGGCTACAACCAAGGGAATTTGCTGCTTCCATTCTGTCATTATCCTAGTTCATTGTGGTTGTTTACTGCCTTTCAACATATATGATCTGTGAACCACTGAATGAACTACAAAACATGTCATTTACAGAACTGTATCTATAGAAATATTTCTAGATTATGAAGCATCTCAAGTCAAGAATAATGATTTACTGAAAATGTGCCTCTATGATCTAAGCATAACATGAAATTTCTTGGAAAAGGTGAGTAGAGATAGCCAGAAATGATCGCTAAATTAAAAAACAAACAAATAAACAAACAATTCTTTTAACTAAAACCCAAGAAAAGTATGAGTATGGTTTATTTATATTCTTTTCATAATAGAAATTAATATTTAGTAATTATCCTTAGAGGGGATTTATGTGTTTTGTTATAATCGCCTATCCACAATTAAGGAAGAAACTAAATTTTGTCAGTGTTCTTTAATTTGGACACTAGCCTGAGACTTAAACTTGGAACATTTATGCAATTGTTGTGTGGACCTTATTTGGTCCCAGAGCACTGAGGTCAGCATGAATAATCATATTAGGGGGGCAGACCTCTGCCTCGTCTATGAAAGGTTGTTAAGTAAAAAACATATTTGCACCAAGAGTTATCAGACACTGCTACAATGCCATTAAATATTGTAGTATAATACCTGCTTCGGTTAATCCTTTAAAATACCATGAGTGGTCTAATTCTTGAAGACCCAATATCCCTTCATTAAAGATTTTTTTCTTTTTATAGCTCTGGTCAGCTTGGAGAAAATACAAAAGACAAAGTAAAATAAAGACGCCAATCCCAGTCTACTTTCTCCATTTTATCTTTCCATAAGCATAAATGTCACCTAAATATATCCTTACAACAAAGAAGAAAGGCACAATTGTGCAACTAACAAAGGGAAAAGGGAGTTCTTTATGAAATTTTTTCTTGATGATTCTAAATATCTGCTTATGCTGCTGTTGAAGTCATTATCATTTTCCCAAAGTTTTGCTGAATAGATGAGATAGGATTGTATCTATACTGATCTTTATTGCAACACTGTTGCACACTACATGATGTAATTCTCCAATGGAAATGTTTTCAGTAAAACTGTCAAGTGACATCTAATTTAAAATATAGTATGAGGAGACCACAAAGAAGAAATTTTAAGGAAAGTCAAAAGCAAAAAGGGCTCCTTGTTTTCCTTCAATTCACTTAAAAGGCCAGCATTAGAACAAGTACCCACATGGAGGATGAGTAACAGTGACTGAGATGTTTATGAAGTAAGCATTTTATAAACTCCAGAATAACAACACTCTGGCAGACAGAAAGTTGGCACACTCCACCTGGTACTTAATATCAGAAAATTATAAAGCTCACATAAATATACCCTTATTCACTGTTTGTGACCATAGCAAGTCCTGTCTGATACTTCTGGGCAACATAGCCTCCTCCAGTAGTTGAGAACCTGAGGAGCACTTTTTATGGCATCTTTAGCGTCCTTAAGATGTTTTCTTTTTCTTTTTTTTTTTTTTTAAGATTTTATTTATTTATTTGAGAGAGAGAGAGAATGAGAGAGAGCACATAAGAGCGGGGAGGGTCAGAGGGAGAAGCAGGCTCCTCGCCGAGCAGGGAGCCCGATGCGGGACTCGATCCAGGGACTCCAGGATCATGACCTGAGCCGAAGGCAGTCGCTTAACCAACTGAGCCACCCAGGCACCCTGATGTTTTCTTACCCAGGATTAATTTATAGCAATTATGAATATGTAATTAATATGTAAAGCTCTTCCAAGGTATCTTCAGGTAGATCATTTTTTGCAGAAATGTTATTGTATTCAACGTCACTGAATCACATTGTATTAATTGAGGGGCCACTATGGTGCAGTATACTCTATGCTTTGGTAGAAAAACAGTACCTCATCCTTGCCTTCAAGGAAATTACAGTTGAATTGTGTTGACTATATTAATCCACAAAAAATAATTAGAAAACCATGTAGGATAGTGCATAGTTATGTGCTTATTGGTGTAGTAAGAGTAGCCAGTATTCACCAGAAAGAGATCAACTAGAATAAAATAACAGAATGTGATTAAAGACTTTGTCTAAACCCTTCCTTTGAGATGCTGTGAATTAAGGAAGGTTTGCTTCACTGAGGAAGTGGGATTTGAATTAGACCTTAAAAAATGAGTAGATTGGAAAAAAAATGTGAAATTAGAAGAGATTTAACTGAATTAATTTATCTCACTTTTCCCAATTTTCTTTGTATGAAGACATACATAACCCATTCAATTTTGCTTTGTCAAATAATCCATAAATACATAAAGTATATGTGATTAACAGTGCTTTTAATGCCAAAAGACAGCTTATTTTCTTAATCCAAAGCTCACTTTATGTAATTATTCTTTTTGCAAACTAGTAGTTGGTTATATTAACACTTGAGTAATCTTGACAAGAAGTTGCTTTAAGCATTTAAAGATCCAGATGCTGATCAGCATGCATTAAGTGATTCAGCTTAATTGGTTCCATCTAGATAAATTACTTACCTCAGTTCCTATCACAATTTCTTCCCTGGTAGAGTAGAATAGAAACTCATATAGCTTGTAGTGTTGAAATAAGCTGAAATACAAAATAAATGTGCAACTCTGATAAGTTTATTTTAGGAAAGAAAACAAATGAATAAGAGTATTTATTAAAGGAAAGTTGTTCATAGTGACCAAGCGAAAGACATTAAACACTAATATAGAGTTAGCTACCTCTTTTATTCCAAATGAATTGTCCAGAAATGGTGAGAAACTAATGATTTACTTTTTTGAGACATTGACAGTATAACACAGTACCTAATATAAGATCGGTAAATTAATCTGTGATGAGTGGATAGGTTTGGGAAAAGGAAGCAATTAGATTGCATCATGACTTGTTTTGGTTGACAATGAAGTAATGCACTGCCTCTAAATAACACCAAATTTCACATTTCATGTTTTGCTTCAAACTGGAGTCAATTTCCCCTGGAATGAATGGCACCGAATTCTATAATCTACTTCCATATCAATTACTTCTCATGTTCTCAAACTGTTTCAAGATTAAATTAATCTCTGATAACACCTGAAAATGCTGCAACATGAATTGAAATCCATTTAGAAGTTGTCTGGTTTTCTTGTAGAATATTTGATCACATGTCAAAGAGAGGAATTAATTTAAGAAAGATAATTTCTTCAGTTTCTACCCAAAGACTAGGTGGTCAGTGTATAAAAACTGTGATGAGCTAAAGGATACGAGTCTTAAAACAAGTTTTTCTAGTAAGTTTAAAGATCTCAGCGATGTATTATTGAGAGTTAAAAATTTACTGAAGGGCTGATTTCTAATATCCTGTTTGTGATATTTGAATTTTTCTAATTCTCTTCCTGCTGGTTGGGAAAATTAATAGACTCATAATACAGCAAAATGCCCAAGAACAAAAAAATTGTCTTAGTGGTTTCTCTTTCACTCTGATGCCTTTTGCTATTTAAGAAAATTGATTTTAATGTAACTGAGAAATTAACATTTGCAAAATGTAGCTACAGAGCATGTATAATAATGGCTTCTCCTGAATGCTGTAATGGATCAAAGTTTCAATTCATTTGAAATCAATGAAGAAATCCTCAGGCAGATGGGTCTCTCTGTTATATCAGCAGTTGATTTCACTATTAACACAATCCATTAAAAAGTGATGGGTATGCAGACTCAGTCATGTTTGTTTGTTTTTTAAAAAAAAACCTCGTATATTCAAATTACTCATCAACACTCAGAAAACTAACTTAGCTTTTGACATTACTTTGATTTATTGGCTAGAAAATACATCAAGATTAGTGAAGTTTGATGGTTCAATGAAGCAAAATAAATTCAAGTTCTCCTTCCCTTACATCGCTTACCTAGAGAAAGCTTTAAGGTTAAAAATATTACACTGGCAATAACTGATTTTTAGTAGAAAAATTAAAGACTATAGAGTATTTGGAAATAACTTGGCTTCCTCTCAGTGAATTAGTCTAAAATTTTCCTTCCATCTCATGTTACACAAAGAAGTTAATTCATAAATCTTCCTTCCTGCAATTTTATAATCTTTCAGCCTTATTCTCCTCATTACATATAGGAATTAGATTGTCTCAGCCAAAAGGGAAATTCTCTTCTTACAATGAAAATAAAATTCATGACTTGGATGCAGTGGTCAAAGATGCAAGCTGGGGCAAGGCCAGGACTAGGGTAAAACAGATGAGGGGAGGGGGACACCTAAGGAGGAAGCATTTTTCAGGGCCAGGTCAAGTTGCCTCCATTGCCTCACTCTGGTCCCCATATTGGTTGAGGTTCTCTAACTTTAGCAAGGAACTATTAGATGACTTCCTATGGGAACAAAGTGACACCTCTGCTATGGGAATACATTTCCTCCTTCTTCCTTTGCTAGGAAGACTTCCAGCTGACTCAAGCCCCTAGACTATTTTGTCAAACAACTTGTCTTAGTTCTAAATCAAAGGGAGAAATAAAATGGGTCAAGACATCTGGGCTCCATGCCAGGAAGTAGGATACCCTGTTGTGCACAGAGGGACAGTTTTGATTTTTTTATATTGAGTAAATGCCTGTGCACATTACCTTCACCTAATTCCCAAGGAAGAGGTAGAATACACAATGACAGAAGCGTATGTGGACCAGATATATCTAAATGATGTCTTATATTGGAAAGCTGCAGTAGCATGTATATTAGTATATATTACATAAAATATATCAATGTATATATTGCATGAGTAGATTGGTCAGTACTTACAGCAGTGTTAGAGAGGAGTTTTGATATTAGTTTTTTTTTCAAATCACAGACACATGATGGAATATACAATTTAGATCCTATTAACAGTATCGAATAAAATTTTAATCTTATTGCCAGTTAAGTTTCATGTGCTATAGGTCATATTCTAAAAACTACTCTCCCTAAATTGATGAGGGCTTTCACTGGTTGAGTAAATTTAATATCAGATTAAATTGAAACATGCTTATACTTTCAATAATTGAGTTAGTTTCATATTTATAAAACATCTTTGTAGTCATTAAAATGAAAAATATTATATGATTTAATTGCCATTAAATTTATATTTGTGGACCTATGAGTCATTCTAAATAGGAATTGTAGAAAAGGACACTTTTCTTTACACAATTTCAGTATCAATTCTAGATATCATACTAACTGATATTTTATTTTCTGTAACAGATGCATTTAAAATGTACAATATCTTTGAAATCACAATATGAAGATTTAATGCATCAAAAATAGTTCTCATTTACTTTACATGGGAGATTAGTAATCTTTCAAATATTACTTTTTTGTTGTTGTTTTTAGAAATGAGACCAGAAATTTTTGGTAAGTAAAGTTACCCAGGTAAACGTTCAATGGTGACTAACACTGACATCCCTTCCTAACTTAATCATTTTCTGAAATGAAATGTCAAGAAATTCACTGATGAGTGTTTGTCCAGAGAGACAAGACAAAAGAGAAAAGAAGTGCCATCTTTCACCACCTAGAAGGTGTGATTAGGGTGCCTGCATGGGTTTAGCTCTTATGGTTAACTATCAGTCCTGGTGCCTATTATAAACCTCCGGAGCTTAGAGCTCAGATATAATGTGTTCTTCAAAGAGAGACCTGGTGGTCTCAAATAGATAAAGGAGGGAAAGAAGGATGCTATACAAATGTGCAGAGAATTCCCCTCACCCAGTGATTCTGATGGGCAGAAAGACCTTGGGGAACGGGTTCTCCAATTCTGGATTTCCACTCCCTTCCTTCCTCCCACGCAAGGACCTTGCTTTATTCTAATTGATATGAAGAGTACTGTAGCTTTTAGTGAGAGACACACATTTGGAGGTATATGTTTTATATTAAGAAATAAAATGATATCAAGTGCTATCATATAAAAACATATTATATCATATACTATTATTAATTCATGCCAGAAACCAGTATATAAGCATTATCAAATTAAACAAGTTAATATTTAAAAAGCTTCCAGACTACAGCCAGGATCCTTGTCAAGCAAATTATGAGCATGTCTAGGACATCATGCAGCACCCTTTATTTTGGAATTCTAAAATTTAAAATTGGAAAACACTGCAGTATATAATAATGAAGGAAAAAAGATATTCTGCAGAAGCTTTTAGTTAGGCAAAAAAATATTTTTACCAACACTTGTTTAAATATTTGCAAACTCTAAAAATGTCCCTTGGGAGAGATGCATGCCCTAATGCAGACCTTGTGACAGATTATATAAAAAGACAGATTTCTTAGTTCACCAATGAAGAATCACTGTAATAAAAATACTTTCCTTCCATTCACCATCATTTTCTAAGCATAAAGAGAAACTTAATGAGTTTAATTGATCAATACTACAAAATATTTCAGGGCAAATAATAAACTTGAGGAAGCTTGCACATAAATCTCTTTAATTTCTAATACAAAACATTTAAAATAAATCTTTAAATGGAAATGACTGTTATTCTAAAATGTAAAATTTTGATTTCAAGGCCAACTACTAAAATACATAGTCTATTGTAACCAAGTCTGATTAATCTGAAAGAATAATTTTGTTAATAAAATGATATTAATTAGAGATTCAGAGAAAAAAGAAATTTTTGGATAATTCTAGATGAAATTGTACTTGTCAAATACAAACCTTTTTTTAAGAATGGAAGGTTAGCCAAAAACTCAATGTCCTGAATTTTATTTATTGGATGAAAAATTTTAATATTATCTCATTATTGGCTGGGTTAATTACAGCACAAATTCTGTAAATGTCTAAAATTTGAATTCATTTCTATTTAATAGACATTTTGTAAAAGATAATGAAATGAAAACAAATGCTACTGAAAAAAAAATCCATACCTGATTTTTAAGTAATCGATGACAGCATTGGCTTGTTTTATATTAAAGACATTCCATTCCTCATTTTTCTGTGAATGGGATGGTCCTATTTCAGCCATAACTTCTCCAAGCCATTTTATGCTGTCTTCCAAGGACATATGCAGTGCTAAAATAAGATCCAGAGCTTAAGCATTATTTTGATAGATGTTTTGGGAACAAAATAATCCAAGATGTCCTTAAATGTGCAAATATTTACTTTTTCAATATTTGTGAGGACAATGGTAATAGCAATGTTTTTTAATAAGTTAATAATTACATTTTGTGTAAAAGAATAGCAGCTGACACACCCAACAATTGTAAATTACTGTAACGCTACACAATTGTCTAAAGATTTGTTTCCATTTTAAGATGCAAAGATAATTTAAAATCTACCTAAAAATTACTTTAAAATGGAAAATATACTTTTTAATGATCTTAGAACAAGAGCATATACAGAAATGACACAAAAGTTGTTTAGATTAGTTGGTGAGGAAGACCTACATGGTAGATTCAGTTACTGTAGACAGGAGAGTTGAACTCAGAACTGAAAATGTAAAAGAACAGAGTCAACCAACACTTGGCTTTGGCTGATTGTTAACATGTGGGAATTTGGGACTGAAGATTTTCAATAGATGCCAGAAATATGTATTTTTATGTAAAACATCAAGATATTTTTTTTTCTTTTCCAAGCTACAGACTTATAACTTATGTAAGCTGTTTCTCAAATGTATGCGTGGTGGTGGTGGTGAGAGCCAGATGACAGCACCGAGTGACGCTGACACCACTTTGCCACCATTACCAAAAATAAACAAGTCAATGATTGTGGTATCTTTTCTTGCAACTAAAAACAAACAAAAAAGCAAAAGTATCTTGTATGGCATATGTCCAGTTGAAAAAAAAGTAGATAAATGTCAGGAGCCTTAGACTTAACATTTATAGCATCTATAATACAAACAGGAACTTCCATCTTCTTTTTCTATTTAATTATGCTCATTTTTACTTGTGTCAGGCAAAATATTACCTCACACACACCACGCACACTGACAGGTGACGAGTGTAGAGGTAAAACTGAAGAGTCTGGAGGTGGAGAGCTGAAAGTCTCTAGCAAAGACGAGGTTGCACCAGCTTCTTGGAAGAGGTGTCAGCTTGGGGCCTGGAGGAAGGCTCTGGGGAGCACTGTGCTGTTCCACGTGAGCCCCACCTGCCCAGTCAGTCCCAATCAAACCTCTGTCTCTCTCAGGAAACCATCAGTCAACTTTCCACTTCTTGCTAATGGAGTGAATTTTTCAGGGCAGCAAGAGGTGGTAATGCACAGGATTTATGAGAACATAAGCTGATTGTTGGACAGAGCTTCCGGTTACACAACAACTCTTTTACTCTGGGATGTGTTATGACCCCAGATTACTGATAAAATCACAGTAAAGCAATTAAAAATTATAGGAAGACACTATAAACACTAATTTGCAATTTGTTTCTTCTAGATTCTTTTCTATCTGTAGGAATTAGAATGAAGCAAACTACATAACAATTAAAAACTGGTTTAATGGATGGCAATTGGTCCCTTTTTCACCCTCCAGATCATCTTTTATATATGTCAGATACACGAATTATTGCTGGATAAATGGGCTTTCCTATATCATTCTAAGGGGAGCTCAATTATTATTGTATATTTATTTTCCTATGATAAACTTCTTTTGAAACTTTCTTAGGATAACTTCAGAAATGAAATATCTGTTGGATAAAAGCAATTCAAAAACGAATGGGGTGGGAGGGATGGGGTGGCTGGGTGATAGACATTGGGGAGGGTATGTGCTATGGTGAGCGCTGTGAATTTTGTAAGACTGTTGAATCACAGACCTGTACCTCTGAAACAAATAACACATTATATGTTAAGAAAAAGAAGAAGATAGTAGGAAGGGAAAAATGAAAGGGGGGAAATCGGAGGGGGAGACGAACCATGAGAGACGATGGACTCTGAGAAACAAACTGAGGGTTCTAGAGGGGAGGGGGATGGGGGATGGGTTAGCCTGGTGATGTAGGTATTAAAGAGGGCACGTATTGAATGGAGCACTGGGTGTTATACACAAACAATGAATCATGGAACACTACATCAAAAACTAATGATGTAATGTATGGTGATTAACATAACATAATAAAATAAAAAAATGAATGGATTAAAAATCTGAATCATTTTATTACTAAAATAGTATTAATTAGAGATGCAGAGAAAAAAGAAATTCTTAGATAATTGATTATAATTCTAGATGTAATTACACTTATCAAGCACAAAAATACATTTATATGACTATTTCCTTATGTTGAAATATAATTGACACCTTAAAACTGTTTTTCTATGTCTAATGTCTTTCTATAGATAACGGCTTTAAAAATAAGAAAGTTATCATTTCACTTATCTAACTGAAATATTTGCTCTTTTAAAAATCACATTTAGTGATGTGATTAAAATATGAAAGATTAAACCATTTAAATAGTAAGGGCTGTTAGAAATAAAATTTATCTTTGAAAATTTAGGGTAATGAAAGAACATGCTAGACATAATTAGTTGGAAGACTTAAGATAGTACCTTATAACTGCTACTGACTAGCTAGGTGATCTGAGTTTCGTTTTCTATATCTATAAATGAGAATAAGATCAATTTTCAAAATTATAGTGCTGTTGTGAGGATTAAATAAGACATGCATGCCAAATACTTGGGAAACTGAAATGATATGTATGCTCGTATATTATGTATGTGTAGTGCTTTTTAGAATCAGCCTAAATCTGGCAACATTTGATATAGTAGTAGGGAGGGTGAGTTCTCACTGGGGCTGATGCTTGTGACTTTAAGAAATTATTTAATCTTTCTAAATCTCATTTATTTTTCTCATTTTTAAAATGGGGAGAATAATAGAACTATTTCAAGGTTGTGTGTGAATTAAACGAGACAGAATTTGGAAAGCAAATGCACTGTGACTGGCACAAGTTAATCCTACCCAAGTGTTACCTATTATTATCATTCCTATTTAGGGGAAAACAGTCAATTTCATAGAACTAAAAAGTATTCTATGGTTATTTGCTAATAGTCATGTTATATACAGGGAAATAAATCTAGGCCCATGGACCTGGACAGAGGTCAAATACCCAATCCTCCAGCTTGCCCTCAGTCAGGCTCTGGAAAAACTAGACCCCAAAATCAATACTGTTTTTTTGTTTGTTTGTTTGTTTAAAGATTTATTTATTTATTTGAGAGAGAGAGAGAACAGGAGCAGGAGGAGCAGAGGGAGACAGAGAATCTTCAAGCAGACTCCATGCTGAGCGTGGAGCCCGACCTGGGGCTTGATCTCAGGATACTGAGATCAGGACCTAAGTGGAAACCAAGAGTCAGTTGCTCAACCGACTGTGCCACGCAGGCTCCCCAAAATGTGTATTTTCTATGTTGCATACTCTTTTAGTTTGATCCACTCTGATTCCAGGTGGGCTGTCTGCAGTATGCCTTGTAGCACAAGTTTGAGACAAGGAACAGATCAGAAACTGCATCAGAAAATGCAGTTCCCTCACTAGAATTTTATTAGTGGGCAACCATGCTACAGCTAACAGCCCCAGCTATGTTCTTCAGTGCTTGTTCTATTAAAATGTTGCTGGATGGGAATGTTCACTGTGGGCTCAGGCCACTACCACCTCTTAGTTTAAGTATAAACAGACTTTACCTCCTTCTCTGGCATGCTTGGCTAAAATTATATTCTTTCCCGATGATAGTTATAACTTTGTTAGGTTTAAAGGTTTAGGAGGATTTTTTTTTTTTCCTGCCAAAAGAAAAAACTAGATTCCTGGCTTTTTTTTTTTTTTTCTTGTTAGGTTTTACATATGTACTTTCACTCTCTCCTAGTTTATGAGTAGCTGGATGGATCCTGCTCAAGTTTTTAAAATTCATTTTTTAACTGATATCAACAATATAAAATTTAATGCAAAAGAAATATTTTCAAGTCAGTTGTAAGTTATGGAAAAAATTTAAAATGGAAATATCTTGTCAAATTTGGAATGTAAGATTCATGAAAATGTTTTACTTCTCTTTATTCTGTTTCTAGTTTGTGAACACTCAGCTAAAAGGTTGCAAAGCATAGGACTCTTCATGTCATATTTTCTTTTTTACAATTTAATTTTTGCATAGGTGATATATTCACATGGTTCAAAAACCATATGTGAAGATATATTGTGAAAAGACTTCCTCAACCTTTGTTGCACACATGCCCAGTTCCCACACCCTTCCCTACAGAAAATTTTTCCCCACTGTTATTGAGAAATAATTGACATATGTCACTGTGTAAGTTTAAGGCACACAGCATGATTTATTGTGAAATGATTGCTGCAATGGGTTTAGCTAACGTCCATCTCATAGATACAATAAAAAGAAAAGAAAGGAAAGAAAGGAAAAAAAATTTTTCCTTGTGATGAGAACTCAGGATTTACTCTCTTAACAACCTTCCTATATATCACACAGTGGTGTTAACTGTAGTCATCATGTTCATCACATCCCTAGTATTTATCTTGTAACTGGAAGTCTGTAACTTGACCACCTTCCACTGCTGGTAACCACAAGTCTGATCTCCTTTTCTATAGGTTTGGTGTTTTGTTTCTTTTGTTTGTTTGTTTTAAATTCCACATGTAAGTATGATTATACAGTATTTGTCTTTCTCTGCCTGACGTATTTCATTTAGCATAATGCCTTCAAGTTCCATCCATGTTGTCACAAATGGTAGGATTTCTTTGGTTTTTATGGATGAATAACATTCCACTGTTATATATACACCACAACTTCTTTATTCACTCATTCATCAATAGACACTTAGGTTGTTTCCATATCTTGGCTATTATAAATAATGCCAACATGGGGGTACAGATATCTTTTTGAGTTAGTGTTGTGGTTCCCTTTGGATATACTCCCAGAAGTTAGATTGCCAGATAATATGGTTGTTCTATTTTTATTTTTTGAGGAAACTTCATACTGTTTTCCATAGTGTTTGTACCAGTTTACAGTCCCACCAACAGTGCACAAGGGTTCCCTTTTGTTCACATCCATGCCAGCATTCGTTATCTCTTGTTTTTGATGATGGCCACTCTAACAGGCAT